TATTATTATTATTACTATCGTTATTGTCGTTGTTATGATTATTTATTATTATTATTATTATTATTATTATTATTATTATTATCATCATCATCATCATTATTTTTATCATTATTATTATTAGCATTATTATTTTTATCATTATTATCTCTACTATTATTATCACTATTCATCCACCGCCCGGAGGAAAGGTGATTAAGCTGTCGTGTTTATTTTCAATTGATTATTTCAGTTTATCCATCTTTATATTATTGCGCTATTAAGTTATTATTATTGCGTTCCTGAATGATGATGTAATCAATGATATTGGTACACCACCCGGTTTCGAGCCCCGACGTATCGGTCACCGGTTGGGGCTATACCTCTGAGCTGTCGCAGAGATCGTTCAGCGTCCGCCGAGTGGATGTGTCAAGATCGCAGTCAGTTCTTCAGCGCACATAAGCGAAAAAAGCGGGTTTGACTGGCGTTCGCGGAGGAAAATTTTGCTCGAAATCGAGTGGTGTACCAGTATCGTTGATGTTGTGAGCTCTAGCAGAGCTATGATTTGGCTTGCGAGACTTAGCCATATTTTTGCTATAACTATCCATTATGATGTCTTATCGATAATTGGTGTTCATATTGAGCCTAAATAATTAATGCCACATTATTCTTAATCACACTACGTTGGTATTTGAGCAAAGGAAAGATTACGACCATTTTACGGAAAATTAAGATTCCACAGATAGATCATAGCAATCCAAATTTTAGGCACTGATTTAATACATAAGTGTATGAGCACTAGTAATAAATCAGATTCTCTAGGTATATGTCACACTTTATTATTTACAGGGTGGTAAATGTTCGGGTAGAATTCACTTCACAAGATGCAAATTTTTGTGCGTTAGTGAGAATTATATATGATTTACTAATTCATCCGTACCTGCATTCACCGATCCATTTCAGAAATTCTCAACAAGGCTTTCTGGGAGTGCCACGTGAAGAGCAAATGAAACCAACCACCTCGACAACCTCCTCACTAACGCATAATTCAACGTCAGCTTTAGAATCAAGATCAACTTTTTTTGATATATCAACGACAATTTATAAAGAGTGGTTGTTGGTTATAGCTGTACTATTTGTTCTGTTCGCAGTAGTACTTCTTTATTTACGTTTTCGTAGAAGACAGTTATCCAGTCACAATCGAGCATATGGATTACGCCGTTCTGCCACGAATAATGCAGACGAGGATGAAGATGACCTTCTGATCAGTTCGATGTATTCGTAAATTCATTGCTTGCATTTATAGTCTCTGACATTCGTGATGTTATACGATAATAGATATAATGTTTATCATGTGATCTTCACTGCTGACGATCTCATTGATATATTCACTTTTTGTTCAAATGAAATAATCTTACATCAAAATTAGCAATGCTTTTCTTATGAAGGAATTTTGAATGTATAT